TAAAACATCCTAGTTCAATTTTTGGTAGAAGCAATCATTTTTGAAAATATTAATGAAATATTGAACTGTATATATACAATTCCATAACAACCAGTAGGTTGGGACTGGGTGATTCATAACAACTGTATTTAATAATGTTTTATATGCTGAAATAACGGTATATTGTATAGAACAACAACAACACGACGAAACAGGTTATTTCTTTAATTTAATTCTTTGACAATTGCTATAAAAATTCTTGGTTACATTATTTAAATTTTCTCATTTATTGTATTACATGATACTTAAAATTTTAGTTATCTTTATATTCTTCTGAAATATTTTAATATCTTTAAGGCATTAAAGTCTCTACAACCCTGCCACTATATCCCATTACTGCTTTAAGTCATGTTATAACATAAGGTCACAAAATGCTTCATTCTTCCCGTGGGATTAATAATTCACTGATTTTCATTTGAATAGTCAGCCATGCCAAATTTTCCAAATTTGGAATTTGGGGGAAAGAAGAAGAAAAATTACCTTGCAATTTAGTACAGTAGATTGATAGCATCAATTGCTACAAATGTTCATGTTGCCACTTTTCTTTGTATCTATTATTAATGTATCTTTGTATTATTATTGATTAGGAAAAGAAATAACTGTAGAATGTTTGAGTGTTTTCTTGTCTTTGTCTATATAACTACTGGTTTGTATCCTGATCCAAGTTTCAATTGCGTCTTTCTCATAGTTCTGAAAACACTGAGAACTCAGAAGTACCAATCATATAAATCAAGAATCCTTTGTCATTTTGTATACATCATATTTGTATACACAAAGCCTATAACCTTATTATATTTGATATTGTCATAGGTTAGAAATGAGCCAAGAAGTTATATATTTTTACTTCCCTTTGGTTAGGTTCAAAATATTTACTGCATGTTCTTCTTGTACTTTCGTCTTTTTATAGTTGATAATTTAAATAAGCAAGAGTAGTTGGGAGACTGTGAATTCTATTGGTATCTCCTCTAGAGCCTGCTGAAGATAACTATTATCAATAATTATTTGCGTGTGTGTGTATTTACATGGTAGTTTTTTTTGTCCCTTATTATAAGAGTCTGAGTAAACACACTGTAAAGCAAATGTGATCAACATCTGTGAACCTGCCCCAACAGCTTTTTATTTTGGTTATTTTTTTCTTAAAGCCAGTATGTAATTTCTTGAGACCTAATTATATATTTGGCAATTTCTCACAAAGAAGTAAGTAATCATATTGGAGTAAATTGTTCTTATATAAATTCCTTTTCTAATGTTTAAATAGATTTCTTTATGTCTATGAAAATCAAGAAGTAGTTGCTCAGTTCTTGTACTAGGCATTTACGCCGTTAACTTGTTTCATTTTTATTTTGATAGGTAGTGCATAATACAGCTGTCCCCAATGCACTTGCTGTTGATTGGATTGGAAAAAACCTCTATTGGTCTGACACAGAAAAAAGAATAATTGAAGTATCCAAACTCAATGGCTTGTACCCTACTATACTCGTTAGCAAAAGGCTGAAGTTTCCGAGGGGCTTGTCTTTACATCCTGAAGCTGGGTTAGTAATCAATATTAAAAATTTTAAGTTGAAGATTAGGACTGTGGATTACATTCAGCGTGGTAAATATAGTTCTACAGACTAATGACATGGAAATTCAATGTAAAATATAAATGTGTAGAAACTCTTATTGAGAAATTAAAAAAAAATGGTAATGTGACTGCCATGGTGAAATAAATTGAAATGACTAGATTTTACAGTAACTATTTTTTAAGTTTTTTGGCAGAACTCTTTTTGTAACTAATCGATAAGTTATTCTGCAAATGAATAAAACATACAGATTCACTGAGTTTAATGCCTTTAAGTCTTGGGAGAAAGGCAGGCTAAGAAGAAACTCTCAGATTGTGTTTTGGAGTGTTGGTGGTAGTGACAGATATGGATGATGTCATATCTGAACCTCTTTTTAGAAAGAGACATAAACTGCATCCATGTGTAATAATTAACAAGGTGCAGCTAAGTGGGGATATTGGGAAAGGTTTATGTTACATCTGAGTATTTGAAATTCATCATGAGAATGGACACTAATGGTAGGGATCAAGGACAACATGCTAGAGATTTCAGATGAGGGACAAACACACATGAAGATGTCAAAGCTGTGTGGTGTTATGGCTGCTAAATTTTATAGATTATGGAAATTATCATTTACTTTCAACTCTCTTGGTTTGGTAGCATATTGTATCTCTGTTGTCCCTTCATGTTTATAATTTGTAAAATGATCATATCACAACGTATTTTATAGCTTAATTTTGAACATTAATTTGGGTAGAAACAATACCTAATGGGAGAAGATCTGTACTGTAAATAAATTTCTGTTTCCAAGGTAATGTGCACATTT